TCTTTTTCCCAAAAGACTTTCAGTTGCCTGTGCAAACTGGCCTCTCACAGGGCTGGCGGGGTAGGGCCCAGATGGCATCAGTGGCTGGTGATACCTGTGACTTCCTTGCTTGTCAGCTCAGGGTGGTGTTAACGCAGTTTCTTAGACAAACTTATACTGAACATATGTCAAAGTTTATTTATTCCTTTAATGAGATAGAGAGCAGATAAGGTATGCCAGTTTGAAATGACAGGAGTGTAGGCTTGACTGCTGTTTTACCTCCCGTGGCCATAAAAACATCACATTTTTATCTGTGATAAGGTTAAATTGGTGACATGAATGGTTTGGGCCATAGTCCGATATAACCCATTGATAAGAAACAACGAGTAATATATCTGCAAAGTAAATGATAAGCAGATTGATCTACGGTTATTAATTAGACATACCAAGAAACAGGGTTTTAGGCACTCACAAGGAGCCATGCACCCGGATGCCAGATAGAGGTCAAACAGAAGTCAGCCAGCAGAAGCTTGGAGTCCTGCTTTTTCTCAAGCAAATTCTTCCAGCATGCCATTCAAGATGCTGAACATATGGTTTGTGTAGTTCTTATTTGGGGGACAAAGTTTTTCTTTCGCAGTGGGGAGAGGTAGAAGCCACCCAAACCCCTGTTCTATAGGAAGAAATAGCCCATCGGGGACACGTGTTTGAAGACTGAGAAGGTTGAAACAGGGAAAGAGAGCTCCCTGTGTCCTCTGATGCCTGGCCAAGTTCATGGCCAGACTTAGAGGCCTGGAACAGCAGCTCTGGGAAGGCCCTTGGAGAATATCACAACCTGTGGTTTCCAGATTGTGTTTTGTGGAGCCCAAAGGGTCAAGGGGAAGCTGAACAGCTGGGCTGTAGCAAGTGAACATGCTGTGCTACTTTTTTGGGATACCAAAAAAGTACCTGGGAAAATTAGTTTTATGTGTTATGGTTTAATGTTGCTTTTAGTTTGAGTTGTATGTGTGAAGGGGATGGGCACCCTAATCTCCAGTGCTTAGGGCCTCTAAGGATATTTATTCAGCCTCGCTATCTGGGTGGGACCCCAAAACCCTTGTCTCGTCCCTCCTTGGCATTCTGGAGCAGCTCTGCTTTTGTCTGTTTTTGTGATCAGGGTTTTAAATCATGTCACGTGTGGAAGAGTAATATGGGTACAGTCTTGAGTACAGGTTACAGAAAAAGTTTCCTTTGTTTATCTACTTGTTCTATCCTGTTTTTTTGTGTGTTGTGTCTTGATCAGATTTATATCTTTGAATGATTATTCTGGAAGAGGGTGGGGTTGAAGGTGGGGAAAGACCCGTGGACCTCAGTTTTGCCATCTGTGAAATACTGCTGGCTGTAGCTTCCATGGTTCGTGGTTGTGAATGAGCCCTGAAGCTTAGATTCCTGTAAATGACAGGTTTTCCTTATGAGAAACAGCCAGGGAGATTATTCCTGGCATTTGGAGTCACAGAAACTGTTTGATGTTAATGGGTTTACCAGAAAGGGCTTTCGTGGGGTTCCTTTGGCTCAGGGCAAGCTAGCTGTTGATGTAATCAGGAGACCACAAAGAATGATTTCTGCCGCCTCCGTCCTTCTTTAACAGTGTGCGTCTCCTGTGATTCATGCTTCTGAGCCTTGGACTTGGGAGAAAGTAACCACGTTTCCAAGGCTGAGGCAGGGCCAGGCTGTGCCTCTTCCTCCTTGGCAAGCCCCAGCCTGATAATCCTGGTGTCCTGGGGAGCCTTGCCAGAGCCTTCTCCTTCATCCTGGACCTTACCCAGGTCTGGTAAGACTGGCTACAGAGCACCTAGGGATCAGTTCCCACATCACAGTGCTGGAGAGCATCATAGCAGCCTTAGAGATCGGTGGGTTCAGGGTTCCCAAACCTGGGTGCATATTGGGGAAAAAAAGCCCCCTCCTGTCCCCTCTTGAGTCTGATTCAGTAAGTCTATAATGGGACCCAGAAATTAGTGTTTTTTTATACTGTCCTAAGGTGGTTCTCACTTAGCTTGGTATAGGGCATTTGGTAACCACTGATCTAGGCTCATCCTTGAATTTTGTTGGACTTGAAAATTTTTAATACAGAGAACTATAAAGAAAAAAGTCCATTTCCCCCTCAATCCAGCGGACTTCAGAAAATCAAATGTAAGACATGCTCATGTTTACAATATTCAAACAGCATGAAAACATGAAGAATGAAAAGCAAAAGCTTCTCCTACTCCTAGTCCAGCCCCTCTGGTAGTCACTATTAGCACTTTCTTTGGATTCTGCTCATAAATGATTTTGCTTTTATGTATCACCACCTATATATCTACTTAATTCTACAAAATCTGAGCCAGGGGAATAATCCTATACACATTATTCTGTACTTTACTTTTTTTTTTCTACGTAAACTATTCAGAACTCACCATAGATCATCATTCTTTGTAATAATAACTATTAAATAAGTTAATATTTGTAGCACACTTGGAACAACGCTTGGGGAGTAGCAAGGACTACGTATTTGTTAGATGAATGAAAACCACTGCATGGTATTCTAGTATATGGATATATTCTATTTTACTGTTTATGGACACTTGTTGCATTAGTTGCTATAACAAACAATGCGGAAATGAACATCCTTGTGTGTATATCTTGGGGACTCTGCCTCGGATATGGCAATCAGTACCTTTCCTAGAGGGGCAACAGTGGGCATGAATCCAAAGGCGTTGGAAAGGAAAAGTTACTGATTAGGAGAAAGCAGGAAATTGGACTGGAATTGGAAATTTTGCCTGGGACCTAGAATCACAGAAATAATAGATCTCAGATCTAGAAGGAACCATAGGAGAGTGTTTGTTCCAGCCTGTGCCCTCTGGGCAGGGAATGTGTGATATATGTGGTTCCCAAGTTGTAAGTGAGCCCTGGGGAGCCACGGTGAACTCATTGGAAAAGTGTGGGGGGGGGCGACTGTGGGATCTTATAATTAATTTCAGATAGGAATATTGATATTTGACATCTCTCAGACTCTGTGAAAATGACTAGCTCAAGATAGTTTACAGTTTCACGTTAACCTTACTGCATTCCTTTTGGCGATGTTGTATTTTGTGAAGCTGAGTTTTTGGCTGTTGCCACGATACAGCAAGTACTGCACACACATGAATGTGGAATGGGACTGGTCATGGCATTGTTGACTCTGGCTCCAGAGTCTGAAAAGTTGTGCGTCTAACCATTGCCCACCTCCCATGAGTAAGCAGCTGGCTAAGGATGAAATAAAACTATTTTTTCCTTTCCATTTGTGTGTACAATGTTTTTCAAACAGCTACTAATTTGTTAGGATATAAATGCTTACTGAAGTGTTTGGACCTGACTACTAAACGTACTAAATGCAACTGCTAGGTATTTCTTTTGGCCTGGAGAGCTGTGAAATAATTACGTAAGGGTGCTGTGAATTGAAAAAGTTTGGGAAGAACTGATTTACATCTTATCCATCAGAACTCTTTTAGCTGTGAGAGAAGCCAAACTGACTCCGGCTTAAAGCAGGGAATTATTCGCTTCTGTGTAGGGGTGGGGCTGGGAACGGGGAGAGGGGGGCGTGTCCAGGGTTGCACATGGAGTCAGAGTGTGCTGGGCTCAGGTCCTGAAAGTTCCATTTCTCCTTCCATCTCTAAGACAGGCTCTCTACACGTGGGTGACACAGCCCACCCCGTCCTTTCCAGACTCACAACCTTTTGGTGTAGCAATCCCCAGCAGAAAGAATCATCTTTCCCAATAGCTTGCACATGAAAGCCCTGGGAGCTGGGCTGGGCCACTTGTCCACTTGAGGCTATGATTTGTGATGGCCAAACCCAGATCACGTATCTGCCCCTGTGCTCACGCGAGCACCCTAACTAAACCACACTGCATAGGTAGGTTCTCCACAGAAAAGATCAGGTTTTGGTAAGAGGAGAACAGGAGAAGGCATTTTAACAGATGGGACAGACCAGCGGTGTGACAGTTTATTAGTTAAACATGACTCTGGGGGGCACCTTTTGGGATGAGCACTGGGTGTTGTATGGAAACCAATTTGACAATAAATTTCCTATAAAAAAAAAAAAAAGAAAATCCAAAAAAATAAAATAAAATAAACATGACTCTGGAGTCCCACCCATCCAGCTTCACTTCCTTGGGCAAATTAACCACATTGACATCTGTAAAGGTTTTAGAGTCATCATCTGTAAAGCGGAAATAACTGGCGATCAAGTCCAAGAAATAAAGGATGACTGTAATAGTCCCCGTCTCATGGAGCTGGTGGTTGAAGGGAGGACTCAGTGGGTTAATACACATAAAGTGCCCAGTGCTGGGCCTGGCACATAGGAAGCACTTGGTAAATGAGGCCATTATTATTGATCAGATTACCTTAACGAGCACACAGCTGGTAAGTGACCCAAGCTTCGGACTCCTGGAGAGGGTACAAAATAGTGATTTCCTCTTTCCTGTCTGTTGCAGAGTGAAGCAGCATGGATGCCGTCAGCCAGGTCCCCATGGAGGCTGTGCTCCCCAAGCACATCCTGGATATCTGGGTCATTGTCCTCATCATCCTGGCCACCATTGTCATCATGACCTCTTTGTTACTGTGCCCGGCCACTGCGGTCATTATCTATCGCATGCGGACTCATCCTGTCCTCAATGGGGCTGTGTGAGAACCTCCCAAGAGGGGCAGTGAGGGATGGGGATGGTGTCCCCTCCCCCAGCCTCTTTCCTTCTCAGAAAAGCGACGGGACGGGCTTTGCTGTGTGGACTCAGGAGCTTGATATGAGAGAGGAGATCCGAGTTCTTGTTTGGATTTTGCCACTGGCCAGCTGTGTGAGTTCAGTCA